TCCCTTCCCACCCCCACCCCCATTCTGTTTTGTATCTAGCTTCTGCTGCATGTAGCTGTGACAGACGGGGACATGGTTGTGGTTACCAGAGGATAGATACTCTTGTGGTCATAACCAAGTTGTAAATGTCACTGAGATTCTTCTTGAATGTCTGTCACATGTGTATCAGTGATTCTAAAGTAGATAAAAATGAAACAGTGATTCATTTGGGAGTTAGCACTCCCAGAAGATTAGTTTTTAAACAGAACAGCAGAAGGACTTGTGACATGCATCCATAAGCAATAGTAATGATTTGACAGTTACTTAGCTCTCAGTTCCTAGCCTTTTGGTTGAACTGACAGCATGCCTGCAAAGATAGTGAGGCCTGTTTCAGCCCCATTAATGTCTTTTTGAATGTTACCCTGCAGGCTGCGTTAATGATAAATGTTCAGTGATTGATGATTTTATAGTCCCAGGGGTTTCTGGGTGGTTTCTGGTTTCTGTGAGCCAAGGCAGTTGTCTTTCTTGTTTGGCCTCTTGTTAGTTTTTCTGATCTTCACTAAAATTGTTTTAAGTTAGCAGAAGGATAGGTATCATCTTCAGTTTTAATTAACTCGGGTTCAAGGCCTTATCAGTATAATTTTAGAAGGTGATGCTGTACTTGGTATATGTAGGAGTCTGAGAACCAGAACAGTTTTTAATCCACAGAGCTTTTGTAACATTTTATTTGTAAACTTTGGTATCGTTTTTTCTTCTCTGCTTTTAAAAAACCATGTTTTAAGTTATAAGGGGAGATTTAATAATGGCTATTTTGAAATAATATTAGCTATATTTTCATGCTGTTTGCAGTTTTATTTTTCAGACTCTTAAAACTTAAATCAGCTATTTTTAATGTGTTTTCCTTTTTATATGGCTCACTTTCTGTAAGAGTATATTTTGTTATACTGGTATTAAAAGGAGTATAAACAGATCTTTTTTGCTAAAGATTTGTTTGCCACTTAGGAAAGGAAGCAGAAAAAGGAGGATAGAGATAAACATTTTCTAACACAGAAATGTATTTTCTTAGTTCATCCCTTTTTTAAAAAGAATTTAAGATCAAGAAACATTTTTTACTTTAAAACCTTAAAAATAACAAAAGAAGCACCCTGTTTAGTTTTCTAAGGAATGAACAAGGAACTTGGTGAGGAATAACCATTTGTAAGTCTGTATATTAATTAGATGATTATGCTCAATTAGCAGGACTGCCAAGTAATCTCTTTAACACTCCCATCTTTTTTTTTCCCCTAGGGTTTTACAGACAGCCCTCATTACAGTGATCACTTGAATGACAGTCGATTAGGGGCCCATGAAGGCCTGTCCCCAACACCTTTCATGAACTCAAATCTGATGGGTAAGTTGGTACTTTTTTGCAAGTAGTCTTCACAAAGCCTCTTTGGTCAGAGGCATATTTTGTCCCCTTGTCCAGGAAGGACACATAAGTATCTAGACGCAGCGGTTCTCAACCTGTGGGTCGCGGACAATGAAAATACGTCCTGCATATCAGATATTTACATTACGATTCATAACTAGCAAAATTACAGTTATGAAGTAGCAACGAAAATAATTTTATGGTTGGGGGTCACCACACATGAGGAACTGTATCAAAGGGTCGTGGCATTAGGAAGGCTGAGAACCACTGATTAGAGGACAGGTCCTGAATTTCTAGGAACATCTCTCCTTCCCTGTTCAGCTCAGTTTGAGGAGCAAGTATCCAGAAATGTGGATCTTTCTCATAGAGCATTATTGTCATCGATGACAAAAAGGAAAGCAGCAATGTTTTAACTGTCAATTTTTGCAGTGTTTTTGTGACATCAAGCATTTTTTTGTTTTTTTGCTTTTGGGGCAGAGAAGTGTTTCCAAGACATTTATAGTTTATTATTTGTCTTAATAGTTGTATATTTGTGGTAATTAAAAATACAACAAAGCAGTAATTTTAGGCATATTTTATTTATATTGAATAATATTTTCTTTTGGCACTATTTAATTAAAACTTAATAGTACATTTAGATGTTGTAGCTTTTGTTTTAAGCACTTGGGTTCATATTGGCGATTTTAAAAGTTTTGTTCTGCAATGGAAAAGTTGTACTTTGAAGGATATTACCTACCACCTAAACCTGATTATTATATTTTGGCAAAACCTTTAATGTTAACCATTCTCTATATCTCCCCTTTACTTCCTGCATTACAACCCCATCTCCCTTTTATCTTTCTCATATGAAAGTTTATAGCTGTACAATCTGAAATGATAAGCCCAAATCTTTTTGTTTTTCTTTAATCAGTTTGGATGCCTCCCGTTTTTATGATACTTTCATCTTTTTTGCAGAACCTGATTCAAAAGAATCTGTTTTATAACATTATTTTTCCTTTTTGCTAATGCTGGTGCTCAGCACATTAAAAAGCTTAATTTAATCTGTTTTACTGGTTTTTGGTGGCATCATGTAAATATGGAAGGTTTTGCGTAATTGTCATTGATTTCATTGCTTATTTCTTAAGGACATGACCTATATTATGATCTTAGAATTGTCCTTTTAAGACACAGCCATGCTAATCTAAGTGGATTATTCAAATCCAAAATTCTGGATTTGCAATTTTTTTACAAATGGTTTTGCTTTACATAGTCTTTGTTTATTTCCCTTATCCTGTGTAAAGTGCTGAGGAAACAAGTCTGATGTTTTAGCGTAGATTTTCCTTAAGGCAGTTACCAATATAAAACCAGAATCATTGAGTATTACATAAGAGTAAAATATCTATAATCAGCAATAAAAATTGTGTTTAAAATGACAATTTGTTTTAACATAAATGCTAATGAAAATCTCAATATTAAATACATGATCATTCCAGGTTAAAATCAGAATTTATTTTAATAAATTTAGAACAAAATAATTTTCCTTGCATTTAGCCCAGGAAAACTTCCTAATTTATTTTTTAAATTTTCTATTGAGCTTACTATCAAAATAAAATTATATGACACTTCAGATAATTTCCTTTTGTAGTACAGTTTTTCCCCCAAGTAGCATTTAACTTATAGTAAATGTGGCAGAGCATGGTATAGTTAATGTGCTTGTAATTTCAGGTTGAATTAAGCTTTCTAAGTTGAGGCTATACCTCTATATTTTGAAAAATCAGGAAATGGTTTTTATTTTAATATTTATGTCCTTACCTTTATTCTTAACTCACAGAGATGATTCTTAAGCCCAGTAGAATTATATCATTAGCACAGCTTAGAGTAAAGGTTAGTTAAAATGGTTGGGTAAATGAGAATTAAATGAATTCTAAGAAATATGTGTCAGCCACTTGCTCTGAGCAGCTGTTGACTGAAAGTATTTCTGTAATTCAGTTTGGGGTAGCATTTTCTTAGTTGGAGAAAGTATGAGCATGTGCTTTTTGGTTTCTTGAGTTTACAGATAATTATTAGAATACTTTTAATAGTCATCCCTATCCTGTGTATAAAATAAGTTTTAAAATAAATTTTAAAAACTCAGATTTTTAAACAGGTTGATACAGTACAAGTGAAAAAAAATCTGCATTCATCTAACTGCATTGTACAGTTAATAAGGTACAGCTATACATTTTTCATTGTAAGTTTTAAACCTAATCTTAAAAATGTTAATTTACCTGTAAGAAAGGGGGAAATAATTCTGAAAAGATTTGGCAGATATATTCAGAAGCATTCCACTGGTCTTTAGCAATATCTGATTTACTGTCCTTCTTTCCCTTTGTTTTCAATACAAGTGATCAAATGAAGTATCTAATAATTTAGTCTAAGCAATCTGCAGGACAGTAGCTTGCTTTTGGAAATAAATGTCTCTTAAATTGTAGAACAGTTACACAGCAACAGGCATTCCCAGTTGATAAGAGCTGAAGTAATTGGACTATTAGATATTCAAAATGTGGGTTTATAATACTCCATAAAGTCACAGTGGATAGATTTGCTTTTCTAGACAGTGACAACTTAAAGTTAAGGCTAAAAAAACCTTCATTGTTAAAGCACAACTGAGATGGGCATGGTATAGAATCATTTGGAACTGTTAATACGTAATCATTATAACAGGTGATGACACTTCACAGTTGTGCTAAGAATGATAAATGCTCAGAAACAGTTAAAGCTAATAGAAAAGCAGTAATATATTTCATCATTGCTGCAACAAATAAAAAACACCATTAAAGGGGGGATTGTATGTCTAGGGAATTTTTTTTTTGTATTATGTTCAGCCATAAGCACATTTGCCTAAATAAATAGTGTATTATAAAGTACACTTTCATGATGGAGCTCTCAAACACTTTAATGATTTTGCACACTGCCAAAATGAGAAATTTTGTCTAACAAGGGTTGTTAATGATTCAATAATGAAAACTTTGCCATAGAAACATGCATTTCTATATTCATTTAGATATTTTGAAGTGTTTAATACAGGAAGTAAAGCTATTATGTTAGATTAGTTAGTGTTCCTTTTTAATAAATTCCAGAATTATCCAGTTGATTTCTCAGTATGAAAAAGAAGAGCTTTTTTGTTTCAAGTTGAAATAAGTACATCTTTTGGCACACCACTAAGTAGTTAGCATCAAACAGTTCTGTACTCTATTATAGTGACACTGCAAAGCTTTAACAATAGCAATGAATTGCAATAGTATCACCAAATAGTCTATTGTTCTCTTTTTCTACCCTTGGTCTCCTCATTAACTTTAGTAATATGTGCTTTCCTTTACCTGTTGTTGATTGTATTTTTGGTGATGCTGGGACCAGTTTATTAATTGGACATATATATATATGAATTATTTCATAGAATTGCCTACCTTCAATTCCCAACTGATTGTAGAATGTATTAATCTTATATTAAAGCTTATGTTTATCAAAGCTTTACTTATTTTAGGTGGTGTGTGCATGTGCTGCCAGTGAGAAATTTAAGATGAGATATTACCTTCAATTTTCCTTTTTTTCTGAGATCTTCAATTGTGTTATGCTTCCCTGTGTTGATAAAGTGGTTTTCTGTGCTATGTGTCCTCTAGGGCCCAGTGGTTCAGCCTCCCTAATTACCTGCGGAGGACACTCTTGGTGCATCCCCTTGTGGGCTTTGTGCACAGTCTTGTTGTCTGGCTGTGGACCACATTTTGTGCCATGGAGTCTTGGCAGCATTGGCAGTGATTTGGTGGGTGTCGCTCTAGGGTGGTAGTGGGGCCTGTGTCCCACTTGGGGGAAGCCGAGTGTTGGTTTGTCGGCGCCAGGTCTTCAGTGCTGTTTCTTTTTAAATGGCCAGTACGTGTCATGGCAACTCCTGCATTGAGCATCTGCCCCCTGGTGGTCAGTGTGTGTCATAGCGACCAGTCGGGTGGTCAAACAGACACTTAGCTGGCTCCATAGGAAGAGTTTGAAGCAGGGCTGTTCTGGTGGTCCCTGGAGTTAGGTATTTTAGGCAAACAAGTCTTTAGAAGCATTAATTTGTGAAGTGGTAAAATTAAAGAGGTTAGAATGGC